GCCATGCATTACCATTTTTCGTTTGGGCTCACATGTAAAGGAATGCAGCCTGGCTTTTTATTTTGTGTTTGAACTTACCTTCATATCAACTGGAAGCGTCATCCGGATTCATGTCTTTCTTCTTGCTATGATTCGCTACTTACTTTGCAATGTTCTCGCAGTGTTAGCATTGTCATGACATTTGCGGATGGTTAATCCCACAAAATGGCATGGGAATACCACAGGCCATGCTGAAATGACTATCCTTACGTTTTGAAGGCTTGTCGGGGATGAAAAACGACACAAACAAAAAACATCAAATAGCAAGGTCACCCTGCAGTCAAAGCAAAGCAGCGTTGCAAAATATTTTCGGTGGGCTCAGCCTATCACGATTCTGCCGAGGCAGCGTATGTACCAGCGACACGACTCTGGGGGGACTGGAATGGAAGGAGCTCCCTCGCGAAATTTTACACGGCGTCGTACAGCCTGCGAGGATTGGGCGACTAGCAGCGATTGAAATTGTGATTTACTTTCACGAACGCTATACCAGCATGGTAAAACTGTCGGGGTGCCTGCAACAATATCAGCCGGGGGGGGGGGGGGGGGGGACTTAACATACCTAGGGCTCCTTCAGGTGCTAGTTTGCGCATCTTCCACTTTCCAATACGAAGCGCGGTCCAAACTTCCTTGGATGCTCACTTTGCGTTGTCGGTTTGAAATTTTGATACTACGTGGAACATCTCGTGTTCGCTGCATTCTGCAGTGCTCGAGGTCACCGCATAACAGACCAGGCATGCGATCGCCAAAGAGAGTGGCAGTAACTGACTGCAGCGATGAAGCAGATGCGGTCCGGCGTGACGCGCCCAGGAGCGGTCGGTGCTGTGCAGAATGGCGATGAGTTGGATGCAAGCGTGATGGAGGAGCACGGGAACCCTACACGCTCAAAACACACAGCTGGATTGCGCCACGACAACGGCTGTATTTTGGAACATGGTGTTTGTCCTGAACCGAACTACGATCAACTGTAGGTAGAAATGGGGCTCAGACTTAGGCTGTGAGCGGACATGTGTCTGGTTCCCAATGTTGGTTCCCGGTTATTTTTTCGCCCTTCATAACAACAAGATCGTAAGTTTTACTTCTCGCGGATTATTTTGCAAACACCAGAATCTACTCCTCGCTACCGTTGGGTCCTTGACAAACACCATTCCCTGTTTCCCGGCTTTATTTTTTTTTTGGGGGGGGGGGTCTCCAGACGTAGTTCCTTGTTTCCCAACAGTTTGTTCACAACCATCGTTCCCTGGTTCCTTGGTCCTACTGGCGCTTTGACATTGACTAGTCTGTTTCTTACTTCCCATGAGTTCCTTCTTCAAACATCAGACCAAGACCCCCAGACCCTGACTGGTTCCAACAGATTCACATATACGACACCAAATTCTAGTTCCTGGTGCTCGCTGACCCTCTCATGGGCAGCTCAGTTTACTATTTGTCAGCTGTTTACCACTGGGCAGGTGTACTCTGAAACTGAAGAGAACCTGCATATTTTCTGTAATATTTACGTGAACAAAGTGTATGCATTGTTGTTACGTGCAAATACAACGTTAGGACGAGTACCGGTTATGGCAAAAATTCAGGTCGAGATACTAACCCTGACTGGTTACCGTGACTTTAGAACGGAACCTGTTTCTTGCTGGACGCTCGGCATAACTGCAGGTTGGGTCTTGGTCTTTAGTGGATCCTTTGGCAGAATTCAAGGCTGGGTCCCGCTTGTTGTTGGAGCCCCGTGCATACAAGGTTACTCTGTGTCCTCCGCATCTCTATGCTTCGTATAGTTGTATATACTCGCTTTTGAATATATCTGTGAACGTCCACCGAATTTGAAACGAGCATATTACACACCACCCTATAAAGTATTTTTTTTAGAACAAAAATTCAGTTTGACCTTCATTTGACTTATATGTGGCCAAGGTCCATTGAAATGCGTTGTAAGCATAATTTAAGTTATCTTATTGCCCAAGAAACACCTCAAAGTTGCATGGCTTCGTCTAACTCACCGTTGTCGCATTAGCGTGAAAGCGCCGTAAGAATTGCCTCCGCCGCTAACCATGGCCTGACCTTAACCCGGTCAGGCCAGCAGCTTGACAAGAAGCATCATGCTTTTCGCACAAAAAGATCGGATATTCAATTGAGCGCTGCTGTACAACGTTTCGCTCGGGTTCTCCGCGCTGTCAGGAAGTTATTCTGAAAAACGTTAAAAAGGCCGAATTCCCCCCCCCCCCAACCGAGCGCGTGTGTAAGATGATAGCACACAAACGTAGCTTCACGTCGTCATGAGGCTGGTCACAAATGTGCTTCACGGGGCGTTCTCGGCATGACAACCCTCTTGATTAGCGCGAACGTCAACAGCGGCCGTGTGAAACTGCTTTTTGGCATTCGCTGCGACGCATACCTGAATCTTGAATGGTGCATTACCAGCAGAACTGGGATGGAGTGATCACCCGGGGGGCCGCAGCCAATCCTCACGTCACCATCACCAGGGAAAAAAACGGCTCTGCTTAACAAACCACCCTGTGTTGGCTTCTGTCACGAAAACGTGACGTGGTTCTTTGGTGACCGCTGGGCCCAGGCCGGTAGTCACAGCAGACACTCCGTGCGTCTCGGCACAGTACGGCGCGTCGTCCACTGCCGGCAACGAGCCAAGTGTCAGACGCCAGACGCCGCGGTCGCCTCGCCGCCGTCGACAGCGTGACTTGCGACCCCTGCGTCGCTCAGGACGGGTCCCGAGGTCGGGCCGCCGATCATCGGCTCATAGGCGGATCCTGGGGGGGGGGGGGGGGACACGGGGCAATGCTACCCTCGCAAAAAACTCTGAGACTATGTTTTGGCCCCCGAAACATTCCCAAAACTTCATAAAAAGTTTCGTCTATTTGCCGTCTGTTTTAGGTTTAAACTGTGATCCCATCTGACCATTTGACTTTTGCGAGTAATAACTTGTTTTACGAGCTTTGTAAACATGCATACTGTATAAAGAAGATTAAAAAGCATTTACGGGTGTTTGAATGGTGTCCCTGCTAGGTACTCGCGAGAGGTACCATATGCAACCGGACACTGGAAGCCTCGATCCCAACGCCAGCCAGCTGGCGACGAACGGTTGCCCCCCCCCCCCCCCAAAGCTCCATGCTAGATCCGCCTCTGCATCGGCTCGACGTTTCGAGCCACGTCCGCGCGGCAGCCCATAATCGAAAGTCACCCATCGTTCACTTGTTAAGTTATATGTGCGTTGACATTTGTGAACTGTATTTCCATTGCGGAAAGCAGGATGCCAATGCGGTGCTTGAAGGCTAAACAAAATGCCTTTTTCGTGTGTCTGGAGAGAATTCTCATAGCCGACATGCGCTCATAAAAAATTAGTAAGGGCAGAGCTTGGAGCGCTTCATTGATGTCATCAAAGTCTGGCATTTGGTACCAATGAGACGTTGACTGAAACGATTCCGCGATGTATACTGGGAACTGGCCATAGCAGTAAAGCACTGGAGGTCAATCTTTTGCGGAGCTGTTACTAGTCTTCAAGAGAGAGAGAAAGAGGAGAGAGAGAGAGAGAGAGAGAGAGGAGAGAGAGGAGAGGACAGAGAGAGAGAGAGAGAGAGAGAGAGAGAGAGAGAGAGAGAGAGAGAGAGAGAAGGAGAGTAGAGAGAGAGGGAGAGAGAGAGAGAGAGAGAGAGAGAGAGAGAGAGAGAGAGAGAGGAGAGAGAGAGAGAGAGAGAGAGAGAGAGAGAGAGAGAGAGAGATGTATGTATATATATATATATATATATATATATATATATATGGGGTCAATTGAGCCATTGTTTGGTGAATCGTACCATTATAATTGGAATAATGGCGGTCAAACACACGCCAACAATTATGCTTTAGACGTTTAGCACAAGGCAAAAGGACAAGATATTTCAGCCTCAGACGATCAACGGCTCACACGTTGTTCATAACCGGAACACGATATTTGTCTCTTTTCGACTTGTGATTAAGCAGTAAAACTGAAATGTTGATATGTGATTTATTATATTTATTCTTATGGCAACTCCTGCAATCATGCCAGAGATCGTCAGTAGACGAAACCTATCAGAGAAGAGTGATTTATGCTCGTGAAGTTTATATATATATATATATATATATATATATATATATATGCTTTATACTTTAATTTCAGTAATGTTTTAGGCCGATATCTGCTGCACTCTGTCACTGGCAGTCAACTGACAAGTTAGTCGCACGCAACGCACGCTACCAAAATGAGAGCGCGGGCGACACACATGGCATGCCAGGTAAATGGCAGGTGTTGGGATATTTCCCCCTGGGAGGAGGCGTTCAATGCCCAATGACATGTCTGGAGCCAATAAATCGGGTTGATTCCGCAGGCAAAATACAACCCTCAACAGCGTGCCCCTAAACAGTGTTAGGTTGTTGGCCCATACATCACTTATAAGCGCACGGACCAGGTAACACAATATTTTTTTGAACATGAATGTTTCATCGCTTGCTTTTAAAAGCTTACTCATTGACATAAAATAGGAATGCCAGCATGCCTGCTGCGTATTAGCGTATAACTACGAGCGTGTTTAGACCTAGGACTCTTCAACGTCAGATCGTAGCCAGAACTGTACATGACCTTGACAGAAGCACATTTGCATGTGTCACGTTGCATCGGTTTCGCGGACAACGGGGATGAAAAGAGAAGTGCAATACCTACAAAGCATATCAAACTTTCGCAAGGTGCGCGGTTGGGTACGCATGCCTCTGTTGCCAAGGAGCCAGTAGCGTTTCCATAGCGAATCTCCAATGTCATTATCTTCCACCAACGAGCACGCCGCGTAAGCCATAAGCCAGCCAGGCCAGTACAGAATCACGTTTGTGGCGCTCCAGTTGCTACTGGTTCTCGAATATTGTCATAGTAACCAGGTGCGCTGATCGAAGCTGGCAGGTTTGGTATATAAACGACCCTCTCGGGCCTGTTGTTGCATATTCCACTGTGGTCGGCCGCCCCTTGCGCTTCGATAACATAAACACACACAGGTCAGTCGCGGTGAATTTCTGGGAGGTTTGTAGGGTTCGGGCAATGTTCGTAATGGCTGATGATCGCTGTAACTAATTGTATACTTTAACAGCCGGCATGCGTCATTGCAACTTCCCGGTTTAACCGTACGTGTTCGGCTAGCATTTAGCATAAAGCCGGGTATCGGGTGTTAAGCCGTGGCAGCTTGGATGATTTATTATTTTTGATACATCTTTCAGTGGCCGTGTCGGTACAGCTTCGAAGCATGTTCGGCTTACCATGCATTTGCTTTTAAACTTTTGCTTTTGCTTAACCGACCTTTTCATCTGCGATCAGTAACGCAGCTTAAACGTCGGGTACTGTTATTACAACAATGGTAAGTTTATAAGGTCATTTGAACAGTACCTGCCGATATACTGAAGGTCAATATTCAGCATAAGAACTCTGAACTCATAACACCAAAAACCCAGGAGCCGAAGACGTTCCTTACTTTCGTCAGGTAGGTAGCTTTCAATAACGGCATGAGATTAGGAGTTAACTTAACCAATACATGAAGGTTTCAAGATCAGATTGAAAACGTTCTGCTTTCACTGTTATCATAAATAAAGAAACCAACCGATGCCGACAGATCTGCATGTTCTTGCAGTATGCTTGTAACTTGCGTTTGTCTCCTGTTTCAAAACCAAGGTATAGCTTGGTGAGTGTGCTGCGTTCATGAAATTGACGATCCCAATTTACACTGTCATATACACAGGTTTGTGTCGCAAATTCCAAGCGATTCTGGTTGTCGGAAGTTTCGGGGTATGAGCTGGGTGCGGATGTCTGAATTGTGGCATGAGGGGCTGCAGATTGTTTTTTTTTTTATTCCTGGATCACAACCGAAAGCCCAGACGAGTGTAATACGCCTGATGGCCGATTGCATGCATGAACGAAAAAGGTACCAAAAAACTCGGAAATTCAAATGGCCTTTGTTGGTCCTTTGTTTGGACGGAGTCTTCCGTTATCCTCTTAACTCACAGAAACGCATCAGGTAGGTCGAAGTTGTAAATTGAAGTAGTAAGCTTCAGGGCCCAAAAAACAAAAATGCATCTTTAGACTGACGTAAAATTGTTTAAGAAAGCTTTTCGTTAACCGGGATCGCGGCATCCTCCCACTCTCCCATCTGTCCAAGCAAGCTTATGATTTTACCGGCTCAACGGTCAAAAATTACCCCTGGATCATAAACCCTATCACAGGCCAGCTGGTTTTTCTTTAGCTCATTGATGACACCACTGGCTTAGTTAATGGCCACAATTTCTGCCATGTAATGTGCGTCGCATATTTTTGAAAGGGGAGCTCGCAGAACAAGGCAAGGCACACAGCCATACCGTCATCTCTGAAGGCTCGTAAAGATGTATTACCCATAACTACTGTTTTTTGTCGTTTCCTGGGTGTAAATAATAGCTTTTGGCGTCCACATATTACGGAAAGATAATCGGAAAGCACACGTCGTTTTTGATGCTCAATTGCCTGCTTTGGCACGTGTTACTCTATGGCACCTTCAACAGCTCGTGGAGAATCGGAAGTCCTCATCTTTTGTTGAATTCTGAGAAAACGTTTGGGTCCGTAAAACGCCAAGCATGTCTCACAGGTTCAAACGATATGTTGCTTTGCACAAAAGCTCAGCAATACATGGCATGTCTTTGGTGGTCGATTTGAGCTACAGCAGTGCTGCAGCACATTATCGATTAGGTTATCCAAATAGGATTACGTTAAGGAAAAGCTGCTTCCGTCACGAATGTTGATCTTTTAGAAATGAATAATTCAGGTGCACTAAAAAATGGCGTATCCTAGTGGTCATGTAAGAATGAAACGGAGCATGTAAGCGGGATAAGTTATCATTTCTTCGAGTATTACCATTGCAATTTGCGTTCCTTTATTGCAGGTTAGAATTTTTGGAAAAAGGAAGGAGAAGAGGACTTAAAGGAACAGTTGAGCAGTAAGAAAAGAAACGAAATTCGCAACATGATGAACATCAGCGAGACCGTGTCGGTGAAGCCTTCGGTCGAAAGCACATACAATAACATTTCACTCATATCCGACTTCTCAAGTAACCTGACAAAGGCCATGCCTGAGCAGATGAGCCCGCACTCCTGACTAAGGGTGGAAAAGAGTATCTTCGCTTCAGTGCTGTCGGTGTTCATCCTGGTCTGCTCAGCACCACAGGTGGCCGTGATCTGGCGTAACACCAGCCTACACCGCGCCTCCTACTATTACGTCATGGTGCTCTGTCTGCTGGACTGCGTGCTCGGCGGCAGCATCTTCGCTTTGGTGACTGTCGTTTTGGTCCTGTACATCATCCTGGGTGGCGTACCGGCCTTTGTGTGCTGCGCCTTCGACGTCTTCATGAACGGCAGCATGAACGCCGTCAACCTGCTGATGCTTGCGTTGAGCCGGGACCGTTACCTGTCCGTGTCTGACCCGTTGAAGAACTCCTTGCGGTCCACCACCTCCACGGTGTGGCGTCATCTGAAGATCTCCCTCGTCTACGGCGCCGCACATGGAGCTGTCTTCACCACGGCGCGGGCGTATTATAGCGACCTGACGGCAACCCTACAGACCTGCGATACATTTGACTGGCTGTTAAAGCCAGAGTTCCGAGCTGTTGCTGTCGTCACCGTGGCCAGCAACATCTTTCTCGACGCTGTCACGATGGTCTACAACGGCAAGGTCTTGTATCACGCATGGAAGGTAACCTTGGGGCATTGTAAATTGTCATGACCCGTGAGTCCATTGTGCTTCGCTTCTGTCAGCCTGCTCTTTGCAATTTAAGCCTTACCTAAGGTCCAAAAAACCGCTTAAATCATCCTGAATAGTCAAATATACTAGAAAGCTACAGCCGCTGGTCGTTAAAGACTACATCAATAACATGCGTACAAGGCATTAAATGATGAAACCGATTTTTTCATCTTCCTCTTTAAAGAGCTGTTCAGAATACCAGCCGGAAGATGGGAAAAGAAAGCATGCTCTATGTGGACCGGCGAAAGGCGTCAAACGCAAGACGCGTTCAGAAAAAAACATGACGTAGGCAAATTTATAGCTTATAGCCTGGAGCTATCGACGCATGTCGGATACGCTGAAAAAAATAACGTTAAGTGCAGGTGTGAAAGGTCACTAGGCTCAAACATTTCAAGATACGGATTATGACCGTTTTTGGAGACGTCACGTAGGAACCTGCCCACTTCGATAAAAACAAAATTATGCTATGGAACGTGATATGGACAAATGCCTGAGACTGATATCTTCGTCATCCGAGAACCGTATTTTCTCGCTTCCATTGTGGCACTTTCTTTTTAAACCATAAGGGTATAAGAAGCTCCCAAATGGAAAAGCTGGCCCAGCTGGCAGCGTCCCTGCTAATGAGTCAAGTTTAAAACACTGCTGTTAGCGCATTGTCATCCTCAGTAACTTTGTTGGCACTCTTGGGATTACACTGTTATGTGTGCATGTGCAATGTTTATGCTATTGTCCGTTTTCCATGGAAATTCCTGCCCAATGTCGTTTGAATACTGTACATAGGCGTAGGAAGGTTTCAAGAAGTGGCGGTGGGGGGGGGGGGGCAAGCTCAAGGTGTATTCAGGAGCGTTTTCTCTGGAAGCGAGCCCGATGACCGGCGGGGAGGGGGGGATGGAGGTTGTTGTCGCTCTTTATTCAGATGTCATGGCTGCTATGCTAGATATTCATCGAGAGCTGTTTATCAGTGGTACACAATTTTGCCTATTCGACTCATCTGTCATTTGGCAATAAGGCTTTCCAACTTCCCTAGATTGTTCGTCCATTTTGACATGGTCTTTCCTGGGGAGGAGAAATTCCACGAGCGCGTAGGCATTTGGGGTCATCAAGGAAGCATCTGCCTCCACAGTGTAGATGCCAAAATACGGCCTGGATATAGGCTGGTGACAATTTTGAAAGTGGATCGCTGGCTCACAGTGCGACAGATTTTTCATGCGCCTTTATTTCACTGGCTGCTTTTCAGGAGATACGACTTGTCGCAGCATTTTAGGCGCAAACAAATTCTTGGGCTTAAAACTGCTAGAAACAATGCGACAAAAGCCATGAAACTGGAGATTTTCTTATAAGAATCAAGGTACATAATAATACCAATCTGTCATATGTTCCTTATCTGGGCCCTGACCCTCTCCGCCGTCGGTGGGCACCGCCTTGGCCCAGATGTGTCCCGCATAACTGACTGCGAACTGATCGTATGGCTGCTTTGTTGCATACTTTTGAACCAGCGTTACTACTACATGGTGTAGGAAACACGTGTTGGACACCTGCAACAATATATTTTTCCGAACGATCGTCCCTCACACCACACCATCGCAGACAAATAGCCTCCGGGAAGCTGTCTGCCTTAGGTATGAATTGGCCCAACAGACACTTCATTGCCCATCATGCAACGTATATGATTTGATTTGCTTTTGTGTGTAGGCAGGGGCGCAGCCAGAGCCTTGCCAAGGGGGAACACAAGGTTGACAAAAACCCATCTTATGGTGATCCCCCCCCAAAAAAAATCCGGGATATGGCTCACTTGTTAACAAGTGACACAGTTTTCTTCGTTTTATTGTTATTTTTGCCTCGTAACCAGAACAAAAACCAGGAGCTACCGTGACTTTAGTTCTGTCTGCATTTTGAGGTCAATAAATAAACTGCAGAAATCAGGCGTTGAACTCCAGCATGAAAGGAATCACCGGCGCTCTTAATTTACATGGTTAGCTGGCTCTCCCTAAACCGATAGAATTCAGAAGCTTTGTCAATTTTTTATCTGGTTTCTACAGACATTGAGGTCATCGAGAAGGTAGACTGTAGATCGATATGTTTGATCCAAATTTGAAGATGAAAATCTGATTGCAGATCGAGTGGTCAAAATATGTGTCACATGGCCATGTTTGTCCGAAAATGTTGACCATTGAGTCAGAATCGATTAGTGATACAATTCAGGTAACGTGTTTTTTTACATACGCGCTCGCAAATCTTAGCAACAAAAATCTCGACACCAGGCGTTGCAGTATCCATAGTCCGTGGAGCGTTACTCCAGTAGCTAATATTTAGTCGTCGCCCACCGTTGGATGAAAATGATGACGCTTCTGAATTGATTATCTTGAACACTTTAATCGACTAGGAATACAAGTTATGTGACGTAATTTTGAGCATGCGCACCCGAAAATCAGAAACACATGCCTCGACCCCAGGCGTTGCAGTCTCCGTAGGCCGCGCAGCGTCGGCCTAGCAGCTAGTATTAAGTTGTGGCCAACGGGCATACGAAAATGACGACGTTTTTGAAACAGTATCCTCGGACGCTTCATGCAGCAGATCTTACATGTATAAGGCAGTCTGAGCGCATATTTCACGTGTGCAATTTTTAGACCGATGAAAAGAACGGATTGGCCCTTAAAGCACCCCGAAGTGGAGCTGGAATCTGTTGATTGAACTGAAAGAATGAACGCAAAAACTTTATTTTTCGTGTTTTCGCAGCTATTTATCTGTCCAGAAGACGGCGTCCGCCGTCTGATGGCACTTGCAGTGGCCGAAACTTTTGGATTTTACGGAAGTTGCAACCCAGGCTATCCTTGCCCTTGCTCTTGAAGTCGCGGGCGGGCATGTTCAAGTCTTTTGACGTAATTTGTTTCAATACTACATTCTGAAACAATGAACGTTCTCAGGCAAACATAACACGAGCTTTCTCGTTTTTTTTTAAAATCATTTCAACCCGCGCTGTTCAACAATAATGAGAGCCCCACTCTATTCAAATAATGAGACGTCATATTTCCCTCCGGGCAAGGGGGCTCTTGAGTAGAACACCAGGGGTACACCACAGTCTCCGGTCAAGGGCTGAAGTGCCATTCCGGTCTATCGTGTAGTGTCTTCTGGCTATCATTCCGGTGGCACGGGTCGGGATCTCCTGGTCGATCCGGAGTCCATCGGAAGGATAAATCAAATCACACTGTCCCCACCCCTGACACGGGGGCTTTCTGACCCGCGCAGTTAGCCCCGGATCAGCACAGGGGCCCTCATTGACGCAACATCATCCCCGATGAGCGCAGGCAGTCCGATAGTTGTCACATAGACTCCAGTTCCGTGTTTCTGTGTTCTTCAGATATATTCAATTCTCTCTGGCTGTAGGTTGTAGATGAAATGGGGTTCCTAACTTGTATTAACATGGCTTACCCACGTTCATCTTAAAATGTTGAAGACCCCGTCAGAGCTGATTGCTGGTAAGAAAACTATGTAATATGGTGTTGAACATGCGTGCTCGCGAGTGATAGCAACAACAGCCTCGACGACCGGCGTTGCAGTCTCCAGGCCGTGCGGCGCCGGCTTTGTGGCTGTAGCACTAAGCAATGGCCAATGAGCAAACAAAAAAGATGACTCGTCTTAAAGGAGATGCCTGGTGAACTAGCTAAATCAGCGTGCATGTTTAATGTAGCGCAAAAGTAAGCCAAGTGCAAACTTCATCTGAGAAGTGGGGGGGGGGGGGGGCAGTTAACATTGCTGCCCCGCACCTTGAAAAGTTGGGGGCCATGGGCCCCCTTCCCCCCCCCCCCCCCTGTTCCTACGCCCATGATACTGTACACTCTTCTCTAAATGACTTCGAAAGCCAGTTTGTAAGTCAGGAATCGTGCAATGCTTCGCATATCTAACGCGGTGCTATTCCTTCCAGCTTAAGAAAACTCGGGTGCAGGAGCTCGGGCAGCACAACATAAATGAAGCGGCGAAGAGGAGACAAAACATGAAAATGTTTATATTCACTTTCAAGCTGGCTTGTCTTTTCCTTGGCTGCTCCCTTCCATACAAATTTGCGCTCCTGGCGCATGGACTGGGTCTCGCTGTGCCCTTAATTGTCTTGCATCTCCTTGGGATTGTTCGGAGCATGTTCCACATCATTGACGGCTGGACCTTCTGTGCTAATGAGGAGTTGTGGCAGGCCCTAAAGCAATGCTCTCTGTTTGTCAGGAATAGGCGCTGATGGGCATGTCGCCGAAGAAGAGGTGGTTTATGGATATCACGTTGTGGCTTTGTGCAAAAAATAGACGGCACGCACATGACGCACTGAACCAGACGGTCCATATGTGCACAGAACCGCGGCATCTCCTGCACACCCCTAGGATTAAGGTACATGTCTGTTTAATCGATAACTGTGAAGACGGGATGTTGCCAATATTTGTACAGTGCATTGTATGCATGCACCTTAATGCATTGCCAATGCTTGTGCAGACAACGGAAACGGTCGTGTTATGTTAAGGCGGTGGAATGGATAGATGTGTATGTGTGTGTGTCGTGTATGGCACATCGAATGACAGGTAATGACGCATTTTGTTCAATTATCAATGACTGGACTGTTCACGGAAGAAAATCAAAATCATCGCACTGTGTTAAGCCTTGCAGTTTCTCTCGTTTTAGGCGTGACGTTCTGTTCATAAACTTCACCATTATATGCGTGTAACGACTTCACCATTACATGCTGTAAGCTTTATCTACGGCTGGGAAATAAAGTACCACTCATGGTGTGGAGTTTTGATCTGAAAAAGTCATCTTAAAGTTGATTTGGTGCAGGTCACAGCCCGGCCGTTCTTAAGGCCTAAACCCTTCTAGTTTCTGAGCTGCACGGCTGTGAAGATGTGTGGGCTATTTCGGGGAGACTATTTCAAGACCATCCAGGCATCCATAACGCCGTAATGACGTCATTTAAGACCTGCCGCTCCATTAACCATGCGGTGATCAAGACTAAGAAAACGGTAACTCGCGAGTCCTTGACACCTGGCGTTGGTGAGCACAGTTTGCAAATATGACGACTATCAAGTGATTCGCGATCAATTATATGGAAGGTGCCACGACATTATCAAACAATGACGTATTGACGAGCATATTTACCAAACGGAGAAATTGTGTTGTTTAGACCAGTTTTTGAGACAGAAAAGTATACGAATAGCTATAAGTGAGTTTATTTCATCACATCTCATGCCTGCTTTAATAGCTTCCAACGTGGAACCTTCACTTTTACACGTTTTATTAGGTCCATCCCATTCAAAGGAAAGCTTTATCTCTATCTTAGATTTGAAATCAGGGCAACTATAAAACTGAGATAGATGTTCATGACCGCACCTGCACTAAGGCCTAACGTCTTTTAGGTCCCGCGCTTAAAAGCAATTACTCTTTGGTATGCCTCGGTTGGCGTAATCGTTGTATAACAACAAACACGTCACCATAGAGAGGCGTGTGTGCTCTGGTTGGCAATGGATGTTAGTTTTAACAGACGAGGATTCTGCCCAGTTGAAGGCTTTGGTCTGAGTTCAACGCCATGTGCATCACGACGAAATGGGGTGAAATCCTTCCTTTGTAAAATACTGACGTTTCGACAACAGAAGCTTGTGGTCGTCAGCAGAAGGAGTTTCCATTTCTAGGGAATTTTTCTCTCTTGCATTTTGTTACTTCCTTATTAAAGCAAAAATCTATTATAGCTCCTCAACTTATTTCGGGCAGGGCAGTTATCATCCGCACACAATTCGTTATAATACAGACTCTCTTTTACAATGGATTCGGTCAAACACATCCGCAACCAATGGATTCGGTCAAACACATCCGCAATCCGCAACCATCCGCAGTGGGAGCGTCGTGCCTTTCGGATGTCACACAAATATCCTTAAACGCAGACGCTCCTGACACGGTAGGTAAGGAGCCTACTCCCAGAATTGGTGTCGCTCTAATCGTTAGTCCACTGTCGGGTCTCATTATGCTGGTGTGATTATGTCACATAGGGCGCCGACTTTGTTAGATTAAACGGATTGTTTGACATTTGTTTAGGGTTTGAAATGCAACGTCCATTTCATGTCGATTCTCTGCAGTTACAGCCATGTCTCTTTCGAGGTTTCAAATCATCTCGTTTCTGAGCTTGATGTCTGTGTATTTGTGCAAAATATGAACCGCCACCTATGGGGAAAGTCACCCAGACATGTGTGACATCATTAAAAGCGACATGCGAGCAACCCACTTCAACGGCTGCGTTGTGCTCATGGCCAAGAGAGGCGTGACCACTAGCATTCCTTAAAGGCAATGTTCCACATTTGTATGGCGTTCTGACCTGAAATAGCCACCTTGAGGACCTTTTGATGCAGTTCACGGACATGTTCTTCTTACGACCCAAAACACTATGGTTCCTGAGTTACACGCCCGCAAAAGTGCGAAAAGGTTTATTGGGACCCTATTTCAAAGTTGCCTCGTCATTAATGACGTCATAGAACCGTCATGGGATTGCGGTCATACTACAGGCTGTTTTCTGCTTATGGTCAAAACAGCATGGCTGCTGATATATTCGCAAAAGCCATGATGCGGCACGTATGATACAATGGGCGGAAGATGATTGGCTGTTAGCAGGATTTTGCTACTGAATGCGTGTCGCAAACGCAAGCGTAAACACTTTCGTGTTGTGCGGCAATCGTCGTGAACGGGTCATTTTTCCTTATTTCTAGGCCACAGGACAATGTTATAAAAAAGAACGCCACTGTCTGAAAAAGTACGGCACCCAAAAAACGGACACTCTCCCGAAAGGTATAAAACCGCGGCAAATGTCTTGTTTCCCCCCCGTTGGCGTTTTTCTTCTTCTTTTGACGTATTTCTTACAGATAGCTCGGTTAGCGCCTTGTGTACCAGAGCACAGAACCTTGCACGGGTTTATGGGTTAGCAATGCATTATGACATTAGGGAAACATTCAGTAATTTTAGATATATATCTCACTGAATATTTCGCACATACTGTACCGTAAATTTAAATCTTGAACAAAAAATTGTGTTCTACAAGCACAATCTCTTAACCCGCACTACCATGAACACCCGTTGGGACTTTCTTTTGTGGGGAGATCGCGGTGAAACTCGGTGTTATGACTGAAAATCCGTCAGGAAATTGCGAAAAACCTGCAATTTGATAGCCCCGTGAGCTGTGTAAATGTGAGATCACCCTTATTTTACAATATAGTGTGAATCAGGGGCCTGAAATGCGTGTGATCACTGGTGGTGTGTGCCAGTGGCTTGTATTGGTGTTGATGTGATCGGGAGTGTGCGTGCGAGGTTTGTAATTCTGAGAGATAGCATAATGTTGGTATTCTTTAAGTCTACTGATTCCCAATAAAATGTGATTGTAGATACCTGTCTATACCTTCATGTTTGTGTTTAAGCGTGGCAAAGGAATGCCGGCAAACTAAAAGAAACATTAGCACTTATGTTGCAGGAGTGTACAATGGTGAGCTGGCACTTCATTATGACCTTGCCAACATTTTGAACCTATTGAGGTATAACAGCATGTAATTAATCCATTGCATGTCATTATATTAGCAATTCATTTTGGCAGTAGAGGGTGGTGCGGGCAGCACACTAATGGACATGCTCAGTATAGGCTCACATTATATGGCTTTGCAAAATTGCCATTACCTAAAGAATTCTGAAAATGTAATGTGGTATTATTACTGGTGCAAATTGTACTGTCTTTACAAGTGTTGTATGCAGGCGAGCATTGTTCGTACGTCATCAGTGTCATAGTCACTGCAACTTGCGCGAGATGCTGGTTGCTGAGAAAGGTGGAAAAGTATTGCTGTTGGTGTCTTGGATAGCACCCAATAATTTTTATCATGAGCCTTGTGTGCACTTCATCACTTCCTTGCATTTTGCCCAACCATTACTACATGCACTTCTCATGTCTCCAGCCTTTTGCATAGTCAGCATGTTTGCAGTGTCATTTCACCACTAAAATTTTCCTGTTATTTTTCAGTACAGCAGCTTGATGGCTGCACCATGTTGCCTGACTGGGGAAATGGAAGATGTGTTTGCATCTTTCTTACCTACGTCTTGTGGATTCCTGAAACAGGCTGAGCAAGTAATGCCACTTATTGGTTGTCTACTTTGCTGAAAATGATTTATATAGTGTATCATGTCTTTTTGGTCAGCCATTTGTCAGATGGGGAGTCAATACAAGAGAGCACACCTCACCCATCTTTTCATGATGGAACATATTATCCAAGCAGCATGGATCGCAGCACAGAAAGCATATTTTTCCATTATACCATGCCACAGTACAGCAGTAGGGTAGTGCCACAATGAAGCTGTTGAGCTGTGCCATCACACAATGTATCACATTGATTGATTAATCTATGTCAAGCCTGTGATACAGCAGCTAATAATTTATGAATGACTGGTAACAACTGATTTAACAATGCCGAAGGACTATGAACAGCAAGAATGTCACTGCACCACAACGGCTACACCAGGGATAACTATTAAGTGCATAAATAATCCTAAGCAAAAACAAATTATTGGTAGCCCGACCTTACCATCTTTACCATAGCAATGGCAATGCTTTGGCAATCAATTCATAGCAACATTACAACTTCGATAATTTTCGCATGACACAGCGTTTCCAATTACAAGCAATAAAGAAAATATCGACTGTGCACATCACATGATATCAACGTCAGGACCACAGCACTGCAGACAACGATGGGACGACAATAAAGTATTGACAAAATTATCATCAACAGCATAGCAGCAACAGCAGCAGCGCCGCATATCGTGCTTTGATAATCTGCCCTAAAAGCTGGCGATCGCTACGTTGCGTATGTCAAACAGTCCACCAAAGCTTTTCTTACGGCCAGCACCAAGACAAAAAAATTCACAACCAAACCACCGTTTTATCCACCGCCCACTAATCCGTTACCCCACACAGCCCCCGCGACGAGAATGGCGGGTTGATGTCAGGTTGCGTGTGTTAAGAGGCATTCTTTAGGTTTGGCTGCCAAATGCTGCCAGGTCTTGCTGTCGTCACAAAACCATTCCATGACGCCATCAAACAATGTCGTCATGACGCGCATTTCTACAAACATTGAAATTTTGCCACTTAGCGTCGTTTTTGAGCCTTGAAAGTTTACCAATAGTTACAAGTAAGCTTTGTCATCATATCTGATGCCTACTTCGATATCCCCAAATGTGGAACATTCCCTTAAAGGGAGCGTTCAGCATTGGAAGATATCAAAGCAACCACCAGATATGATGAAACAAGCCTACTTATGACTATATACACACTTTTCAGTGTAGAAGTCTGTTCTAGAAAACATAATTTTGCGATTTAGTGAGTATTCTCCTCAACAGTCATGGTTTCATGGCGTCATGGAACGTTTGTATGATGTTGAGGTGCTGCCAAACTAGCCGTGCAAAATTGTCACCCAAGCACTCACTTGTAGTACTTGGAATTGGCCGAGAGATGGCAGTGGACGTGCTGTAAGTGTTCGCTGAACCAAATATCTCTACGCTAGTGTTTTGGTCCTTTTTCGAGGTGGTCTTGCATAGGTACCCTTGATTTTAAGAATCCTTTTTGTATCCATAGTTTCATGTATTCAAGATCTTATTTGTGCAGCAGAAAACGTGACTCGTAATCAAAACCTGCATAGCTTGCTCAGCATCGCTCAACAGCCAACGCGCGTTTCCTATATTTGCAAATCGTGCTC